ACTGGCTGCCCAAACTTTCTGCACTATGATCATTGTTGGGTCTCTCTTCTGTCATCAGGGAGAAGAGTTGCCTCCCAAGAAACTGCTCCTGTTGGTTGTCGCCTATTGCTTCAACTCCCTCCTTGGTTCCCAAACCCCACTTTGGAGAACTATAGGTTTGGGGAAGGGGATTAACAGTAGGAATAAAAGGAGGACAGGAAGTGAGAACTATAGTTTAGTTGGGTTGATTGGTCCTTGCGACGGCTAAGGGAATCGATTTGGGTTAGGTGGTCCAACGCCAGCACTACAAGGCTTGATTCCCTGCTACCCCCTTATCGCAAAGCTTCCTTTGGTCCATCTCTCCCCCCCCCCCCCGTGGGATTTTCAAGGACACTCTTGCTAATGAAGATCTTAAAAGTTAGTGACTGTATTGATCATGATAGAATGATTTGGAAGGAAGATCAAATCTGCAAAATGGTCCCAAAGCTGATTTGGAACAAGATAAAAATGATTTTCATCCCTTCGAATGCAAAAGAAGATGAAATCATTTGGAGACCCAACCCTAAGGGGAATTTCACTATAAGATCAGCGTACAAAGAAGCTTGTGTTAGGGATAATGTGCAAGTGCAGCACGAAGGCTTCCTAAACACTATTTGGGGCCTCAATGTCCCCCCCCCAAGATAAGAATCTTCATGTTCCTGCTCCTTAATCATAAAAACTGCCGTCCAAAGACCTCCTTAGAAAGAGGGGTATGACCATAAATGAGGCATGTAACTTTTGTGGAGATAACGAAAACATTGATCACATTTTCAAAAATTGCATGACTGCAAAACAAGTTTGGAGGCTAGTGGGCCAAGACATTGTGAACCAAATGGACAATGAAATTTCTATTAATAGTTGGTGGTCTAACATGATTAGCAACCATGTAACTCAGTTAAGCAGAGAAAAAGCAAGCATTATTCTATGGTTCTTGTGGAAGAATAGAAATGAGAAAACTTTTAATAACAACATCACTCCAGTTGGGATCATTGATAAAGCTCAATCTTCTACAACCAACTGGAGATTTGTAACAGCGCGACAAGGGCCAAGATCGATAAAAGAGTTTGGAACTCAGTTTATTGGAGGAACCCAAAACCAGGGGTTATCAAAATCAATTTTGATGCTTCCCGTAATAGTGGGGGTCGTTGTACTGTTGCGTGTATTGCCAGGAACTCCCTTGGGGAAGTCTTGGATCTGAAAGCTTGTCCTATCGGGGAGGCATCGATAAATCTTGTTGAGGCGTGGGCTGCTTGGGAAGCCCTCAATATGGCTTTTAACTTCAGAGATCAATCCATTTACATTGAGGGTGACTCGCTCATCGTCATTTCCTGCATTAAGAAGACGCTTTGACCCGCCATGGAGAATTCGGACTATCATTGGTGAATGCTTCAAACTGGTGGAGTTGCTGGACTGTGGTGTCTTTTTCTCTCATGCCTTTCATGAAGGTAACCAAGCAGCTGATTGGTTGGCGAAACATGCTCTCGAATCAGATGCTCTTGTTAGCAATTCTCTCCCTGTGCTTCCTAAGCCGCTAGAGTTCATTTGTTGGTGCAAATTATGGGGAAGAGCTACCCCCAGGCTTGTGTAGCTCACCCTTACTCTACCAAAAAAAAAAAAAACCTACTCCCATCCCAGCTAAAGGTTGGATACAATGGGTTGCTACCCTTTCCACTAGGCGGTCCTCATTTGAAATTTGAACACCACAAGCTGTCAACTGTCCAGGTTGACAAGGAGCATCAACTGTCTTCCCAGCTTCATCAGACATCAAGCTGCCCGGTTCCACCACATCAGCTCTGGGTTTACTCGACTAAGTATCCAAACACTCCACTGTGGTGTTCAGCATTGCACCTCCTCCTTCTCTGGCGACAACCAACCCCCCTGCTTCCTCCTCCGACCAGATCTCCTTCCCCTTTAGTCTTCTCCCCACTTCTGCAGAAATATTTGATCCCGCCCTAACTTTGTCGATCCACTCCTATTCTGCTGCACTAACAAGGAACGGACTGTCTAGTTGTCAACACGAACAGGTGGGATCTCCATCCATATACTTGCCTCTACCATTGGGACCCCATCCTTTATTCTAATGGATTTCGGCGGGTACCCTTTCCATTTTACCTTGATCCTAATCCACTCCGTTGTTTCTTTAGCCTGGTTAGAATCGTCCATCTCAAGGTAACCCCCGCAGACATCTCTGATTTTCTCTACTAAACTCATACTCTAGAGGTGCAAAGGTAGGCCAAAAACTCTCTCCTAGAAATCTTTCCTTTCCCCTTCATTCCAGGCTAAACATCCCATGTCCCAAGGCACCAGACGAAGTAACTCCCCTTCAAACTTCCTGTCTCCCAGGCACCAAGTTTTCTTGGCTTCCTCCTCACTCACAAAGATGAAAAGAAGCTTGGCATCCAGTAACCTTCGGATTCTCAGTCCCCCTTTCAGTTTCCATCTCCAGATGGCCCATTGTTTAATCTCCTCCAAAGATCTCATGATGTTTTCTTGGCTTCTCTTCTCATTCTCCACTTCCCCTGTTACCATGTACAGGCCAGCTTTATCTGCACTAACCTCCGTCGATCCTTCTTCCGACCATAAAGAGCTGTTGACAGCTTCTGCATATGTTTCAGCTTGGTGCCTCCGCCCATTTCTCAGGTTTTGCATCCCCTTAGACCACCCAACTTTCCCAACTTCTTCTGCCTTGACTGTTCCTCTGCTATTCTTTCCTTCTGAAACTCACTTAGTCCGGGCGAAGGCTCCGACCTTTCTACCTTGCCGTTTGTTCATCTACCTTGCCATAAAAGCGTATCCTTTTTCAAGGGCATCTATTCCTCCTTGTACATTGGACATGCTTGTTGACATTAGATAAGCCTGTCTTCATTCATTCTTTGCAATAAATACTTTCAATTGTTACCAATAAAACAAAATAATCATAGCATGAGCCAAAAAGAAGTTATAGATGGGATTAAGAAGTTTAGCAGAAAAAAGAAGAAAAAAGGTAATGGAATTAAGAATTTTTCACTGTTTTGCTGCTGCAAACTTTCTACTGTGATGCAACAATCCTAAGGTGATCCTAGATTATGTGATTCTTAGAAAGCCTAGAGTAGTTCGGTTGGGCAAAGAGAAGGGGTAAAATTCTGCGGAGATGTATCAGGGCTGCACTGATTTAGACAGTGTGGGAGGAAAGGAATGGCAGTGTTCAATGATAAAGAAAGAAATAAGGAAGCAGTTCTGGATTGCATCTTATATAGAGCTTTAATGTGGGCCAAGTCCCTAAAGTTATTTTCTGATTTCTCCTTCGATGATATGTCACATGCGGAGAAATTTGGAAGCTGTAGCTAGAAGTTCTGCTACAAGGGTTAAACCTGTTATGGGCTGGAAACCACCGGATGAAGGATTCATCAAACTGAACTTTGATGGCAGCAGCCTAGGGAACCCAGGCCCGGCTGGCCACTGGTATAGGGGGAGTTTTTAGAAACTATGAAGGTCAAGTTGTTGCTGTGTTCTCAGGTCCAGTTGGAGTAGGGGACTCGGTTTTTGCAGAGCTCCAAGCTGTCCTGCAAGGAGTACAGATTGCTAGAGATTTAAACTTTAAATTATGATAGGCTGTTAACTGAAGGTGACTCTTAACTGGTAATAGGATGGTTGAAGGAACCTGAAACTGTAATTTGGAAATACAAAGAATATACGAAAATATTTAAGTGACCGGTCAGAGATATGAAAATTTCAGTCCAATGGGAAAGGCAGTCAGTAACGGGATGGCTGATTTCTTTGCAAAACAGGGGGTGCATAAGTCTGAATTATTCTGAGCTCAGTTGTAATCCGTTTATATGGCTGGGGCTGCATCTCTCGCCTCCGCTGGTTGTACTCTGTAATCTTGTGATAATTATGTTCTAATAAAATTTCTATCATTTATCAAAAAAAAATCTGATTATTAAATCAGCTATTGTTGGATAACTTGTCAGGCATAGGATTTACAATAAAAATTGAAATATCTGACATGACATGGCACTTATGTACAAATATCTGGGTATCAATGTATCAGAGTCTTTGGTGTAAACATATTTTACTTGTATACTCTCTTTTTCTTTTACTGATATTTCTTTCCAATCTATCAAAGAATAAGGCCAGCATGTTGTATAACAAGGGAAAGAAATAGAAAAAATTTAGGCAACGAAGAGAAAAAACACAATGGAGAAAAGGATTTTTGAAATGGATGAAAGAGAAGAGTACATTGGATAATGGATAGTATTAGACATGAGCACATTCGTGGGGACTAGAGAAGGGAAGGCCCTTATAAATCAACTAGGATAGTTCACATGTGCATAAAAAAAATTATAATAAAGGGACCTACTGCACTAGAAAGGAGTTATCTGAATCAAGGTGAGAAATTCAAAAGAGCTAGGCTGAAGCCCAAAAGGATATGGTAAGTATTAAGAAAGGTCTAAGGATTCATGCTTTTATTCAAGTAGTGAACCCTAGCAAAGGAAACAAAATCTTTGTTTCTCCAAGATTCAATTATATATACTTCTGCACACAATCATCACCTAGGTACCATATCTTGAAGTCTTGACAGTAAAAAGGCCTAGGCATGTTTTAAAGCCTCAACTGTTTGCTACTAAAGTTGATTAGTGGTTTTATATGATATCCATTCATGTTTGCTTTCTTTTTTTTCTTTTACCCCTTTGTCTCCTCTTCTTTGCAACATCTTTAGAACTTGCCAACATTTTCTGTTTATTATGAAGACTCATATAGTTATTTAAATACCCTAGAAAAATAACATAAACAAGTATTACAGAGGAACCAACAATTTTGGAAGGCTAATTTGATAACATATAACTTGAAGTATCTTATAAAGCAACAAATTGCCAAGAGTGACATTATATATAGAAGAAACACATCAGTGAATAATCAATCAAATAGGGAATCGATCATGAATTTCACATCAAAAGACAACATTTACTTTTTTGTAAAGAGAGGTAATCACATTGTCTAACCTGTTGTGGAGAGAGAGGCAGAGGCAATAATGGTTCTTGAAGTGGTGAAGAAGAAACTGGGGATAAAGGTTTTGATGCCATGGTTATCAAACCCTCAATTTTCTGCTCAGGATATAGTTTCTGGGACGTTGAAGGCACAAGTGGCCCAGGCTGTGCCAACTGATCGGGAGTTAACAAAGTAAAAGGTTTTGTTAGTAAAGAACCAGAAGTAGAACCAGAAGCAGAAGAGGCAGAGTAGGGCAAGGATTGAACAGAAGTGTTAGATGATTGGGCAGACATGGCATTTGAAAATGTTGAAGCTGGGACCCCACTTATATCCTGAGCAGTTAGTAGATTACCGGTGATAGATGAAGCATGAGATGGAAGAGATGCCTTAATGGACAAAGATGATTTGTCAGTAGGGGAAGTAGAAAATTGTGGAGTCAGAGTGGGAGAAAGATTTGAAGGAGCTGATCCTGATGTAGGGATAAGTGGAGGTACAGGTTTTGCCACTCCTGTGCTCAAGGGTACCTGAAGTTCAGGATATTGCAACTTATTCTGCAGCATCAATGGATCAGACATTGTAGAAGGTGACTGAGAAGGCATAGATTGAGGTTGAGTATGTGAAAGGTTATTTAATGACCCATAATACCCTTGCCAGTACATCGGCATGGAAAGAGATGACCCATTTGTATGTTGAGTAGAAGAAGAAGAAGAAGAAGCCCATGAATCAAAGTGGGTTTGATTATGATATGAAGAAGACAATGCAGTTGGACAGGCTGTCCTGGGGAAGGCCGAGGCCGAAGATTCTCCTTGGGAGCTCAAATCTGTCCGTGTTCCACCTCCAGTTGAAGCTGATGCTGAAGAAGATGATGGTCCATAGACATAACGTGACTGCAGAGTAAAAGAAAAGAACCGATAAGGGCATCTCACAAAATGAAAAGAAACATTTAATTGATAATGTATGTTTTTATCATTTAACAGTAACATAACTACCTGAATAATAGCAGGATCATTGTCCATCTGTTCTGCACGAACAGGTGGGGAAGATTTAACTTGCAAATCCTGAAATCACAGACAATTATTATGTTTCATAGTTAAAATGCATTGTTCTCATAAAATTTAAATGAGAATGCATGAACAAAAGAACCACCAATGTTTAAGCCAATCATGTTTTTTTTCCTTTTTGAAAGAGGCAAAAATGATATGTATTAAGGGATATAACCCAATAAAGTTAATCATGTCTTACTAGGGGTGCAACATAGATAGATTTGGGTTGAGCATTTCTTAAATTTTGAGGGACCCCAGTCCAAGGGCCTGGACCTGATGCAGTGGAAATTCTTCAAATTCAGTACCTAAGGTGCACTCCTATGTCTTAGTACAAATCCCACTGCAAATTCATGGGAAAGAAAGCTATTCCAATATGGCAAGCCAAAAAAGAGGAAGAGGCTATTAGAATTTTATTTATTTATTTTGATAATTACAGGCTATTAGAAAGTTGAAGACTTCATTATGTTACATATGGTCAATGGTATATGGTGCATATGCTTAGGTCACTTTTAGCTTTCACCTTATTTTATAAATGAGACAGCAAAGTACTTATGAAAGACACACAAGAAACAGATGACCTAAACATAGCAGAAACTCTCCCTCCAAATCTCAAACCCAGTTCCCAAGGAAAGTGAATTCCAAGCTTCTAGTAAACCCAAATCTACATATCAATATTGAATCTTGCACTTTCACCTCTACTGCTCCACAAAGTACACCTTGTTTATCAGTAACAACCATCAACAATTTTTTTAATCAGTAACTGATGGTATAAAAGAATAATTTGCTTAAAACATCACTAGCTGAACCAGTGAGTTTCCATGGGGACTCAGCTCTTGCCCATGATCTCCTTACATAGCTAATACATCAGCAAGTCCATTGGCCAATAGTGATCTATAAGGGAGAATTGAGAAATATTGGGTTATCTCCTTTTTGGTTTGAAAACATGTGGCTATGTCAAATGGGATTTATTAAAAAAGTTAAGGATTTGTTGGTGGAAAGTAACCCTAGAGTGAAATGGAAAGAAATGAGGTTGAATAAGAAACTTCATATCTGAAAGATAAAATTAAGGAGTGGAATCTATTGGATTTTAGGAGGCTAGAAGAGAGGAAGCAAGTTGTGGTTGACCAAATCACGGAGCTAGACTTGAAGGAAGGTAGGGGAACTCTTGAGGAAGGAGACAAGGAACAAAGATGGACTTTGAGAAAGCAATTGGAGGATATCATGTACAAGGAGGAAATAAGTTGGAGGCAAAATTCAAGGTACAAATGGATAAAGGAAGGAGATAGGAATATGAATTTTTTTTCGTATTGTGGAAAATGGTAGGAGGAGGAAAAGTTTTATCTCAAAGCTAGAAGGGCTCAAATATAACCTAATAGAATGAGATTGTTGGGGCTTTTGTGGATCACTTTAAGTCTACTTTTAGAAGACCCTTAAATGGCAAAGTGTGGGTAGAAGGAATGGAGTGGGCCGAGTGGCCAAGACTAGAAACTGAGGCTAGGGAATGGTTAGAAAGAAAGTTTTTTTTTTTTTTTTTGATAAATGAGAGTAATTTTATTGAAACAAATATCAGAAATACAAGCGGCCTAGGAAGAGGCACGAGATGTTACCTCCCCCAAGGACTGAATCATAAGAAGCAGCCTAGGCTAGGGAATGGTTAGAAAGAAAGTTTAAGTTGGAGGAAACAAAAGAAGCAGTGTTTTCTATGGATAGATCAAAAGCATTGGGGCCAGATGGTTTTACAATGGCATTTTATCAAAATCGTTGGGACATACTAGAACTAGAAGATGGCATACTGTTAGCTTTTGGTGAGTTTTACAAGAAAGGAGTAATTGATTCGTAGCTGAACTCTAGTTTTATTGCTTTGATCCCTAAAAAGAGAGATATTATCCAAGCCAAGAGACTTTAGACCAATAATCTTGGCGAATTGCAAATTTATAGTTAAGGTGTTGTCTCTTAGGATTAGGAAAGTCCTCCCTCTCATCATTGCACCTAATCAATGAGCTTTTGTCAAAGGGAGATAGGTAGTTGATCAAATTTCAATAGCAAATAAAAGTGTAAAGCTTCAAGAAGTCAAGAAAGAAAGGAGTGGTTTGCAAGCTTGATTTAGAAAAAGCATATGATATGGTGGATTGGTCGTTTCTGTTGGAGGTGATGGCAAGCTTTGGTTTTGGAGACAGGTGGTGCACAAATGGGCGATGGGTTGTGTTGGGACATGCCATTATTCTATCTTGGTAAATGGGACAATGGTGGATTTTTTTTTCCTAGCCTTGAGGAGTATAAGACAAGGAGACCCTTTTCCTCCCTTCTTGTTTACCTTGGTAGCAGATGTCCTTGAGAGACTAATTTCTAGAGCAAATTCAGTGAACTTAGTAATTGGTAGGGATGGGGTACCAATTACCCACTTACAATTCGTAGATGACATGGTACTTTTTTGTGAAGGAGGTGATTTGAGATGGATTAGGAATTTGAAACTTGTTGTACAACTTTTTTAGCAAATATCAAATCTAAAGATGAATTTTGAGAAAAGTTGTATAGTGGGAATCAACATGGGGGAGGGTGAGGTAGTAGAGTATGCAAATATTTTGGTGTGCGGTGTCCAATTGGCCTTTGAATTACTTGGGACTGCCTCTAGGAGATAACCCTAATAAAGGAAATTTTTGGAACCCAATTGTAGAAAGATTTGAAAAGAGACTTACTTCTTGAAAGAAATTTAATTGTCTTTTGGAGGGATAATCACACTAATTAGATCCAGCTTAGCCAATTTGCCTGTCTACCTCTTGTTGGTGATTAAAATCCAAAGGATAGATAGGAAATTTGAGAAACTAATGAGGGGTAGGAGATGTATGCAATGCAGCTAGGCATCCCTGTAGAGAGAGACACAAGAGTTAGGGTTCTAAATGACTCTATCACAGTCATCGTTGATGGGCAAGGTGTCTCTAAATGGGAGATGGTGTTGCGACGTTGCTTAGTTCAAAATGTTCAACTAGTGCTATGCATCTTCATTCTTCTTAATATAAAATATTTTTATTAAAAATAAAGAAAAATGAGATTCTTCTTCCTCCTCCTCCTTCCTCCTCATTCCCCCTATTCTCTTAAGGAGGCTTACGCCTTGTGTTCAGGAGGCTTACACCTCTTATGTTCTGAACTACGTCTCATGCCTGTAGGTAGTGGAATGCCTCACGTCAGCCCTCCGCATTTTAAAGCATTGATTTCAAGCTAGTAATTCCTCAAAAACAAAGAAGTCCAGATTTGGTTCCAGAAAAAAGAAAAATGTGGGAATGCAAAAGTAAGATGATAATGAAAAAAATAACTGCTATATCCAAATAGACTTAATCTACTGAAAATCAGTTAACAGAAGGTCCCAGAACATGTTAACAGCATTTCAAACTGATGCATCAATGTAAAAATCCATCACTCGCCTTGATATCACTTCCTCGAAACAGAATGTATTCATATACTTTATCACTTGGAGGAACCTGTGGACCGTCTTTCTTTCGTCCTTCAGTTCCATATGACCTGACTGCAATCAAGCAACATAGGAGGTAAAGACCAAAAAGATGGCACCTACCAAAATTAATTTAGGCTACAAGAATTCATTAATTTATCCAGCATGGTAGCTTACTAAAATTCACAACTCATCATGGGAAATTGCAGAGCAGTTTGTTTAATGTCTATTTCAGGCATAATAAAAAAATATTATAGATAATGAATAACTTCAAGGAAAATGTATAAAAAAGAAATGGCAATTTGATTAGTCTTCTAGATAACAAGTAAAGGCAGTACAAAAAAGAGGCACCAACTCCCAACAAAGAGAATTGAAGTCAAATAAAAATGGATTGCTATAACATATAGATCCCAAAGGAAAAGTCTTAACCATGTAGTCAGGATATTTAAAAAAATGGAAAAGATAGGCATCTCGAACCTGCATAATCATAAATTATCTGTAATCTACAGTACCAAACAAACATGGACATAGATACAAATAGAAAAGCATATATGAAAGCCATTCTCATCAAAGCAAAGGCAAGACCTCATTCGCTAGTTGAAATGGGAATATATTAATATTCTATAAAATGAAAAAGTAAATTCTGCAACCCCTTAACCTTTGAAGAAAAGGGAATCATGTATAGTCTAAAGATCAAGCACCATAATAGTATGAAATAGCACATAACACAATGACATCCCGGATTAAACACCCCCCACACCCAAACACACACACACACAAGTACACAATAATATTGAGCCTCTCCATTGTAGCCAAGCTATCAGCCAAGATATTCTCTTTTTCCTTGTGATCCTTCTGGATAGACAACCAGTTACCCAATAGCCCAATTATAACCAGAATACATGTAAGATGGGCAAGATATCAAAGTCAAGGACTTAAACAATGCTGCTGACAGAACATGGAAATTCAACACCATGGGGCATATAGTGCCAGATTCCATCAAAAAAGAAATCCAAGATGCATCAATCCCAATGGTAGAGGGTGAAGACAAAATGTGGTGGAGCCTAGAACTAGATACAAAAGGAAATTTCTCAGTTAAAAAAGCTTAGTGACCAAATCCAATGGAAGCCCCACAAGAGCAATCTATAGAAGTAATTAACATATGGAAAATCAAATGTTATCCCATATTGAAGATTTTCCTCGGGATAATTCTAAATGGCAAATTTCTGACAAAGAAAATGCTTGTTAATAGGAGGTTGAAAATAAACCAGAATGCAGCATTTGTACAGAAGAAGTTAAAGAAAAAATACACATCTTTAGGGATTGCCCACTCATAAAACAGAATTGGCTAACAGTTCACCCAAAAAAATTGAGGCTTTTTTATCAAAAAAGGTAAATATTATTAAACAATATATCAAATTTGAGGTTACAAATCTGTGGGTAAGTTACCCACACCCATAGAGATAATCAAATACAACTAGAAAATGCAGTCCCCATACCCAGCCATACAATTTAGCCCAAAATAACTGCTGCCTATTTGCCCCCTGTTTAGCGAAAGCATCTGCCATGCCATTTGCAGTTTTTCTCACCCATTTAAACGTAACATTCAATTCCCTTGTTAAGCTTTCAATTTCCCTGATCCTGTGCCTATAGACCCAAGGAGTTTGGCTGTGAAATTGTGTCCAGGAAATTACCACCTGAAAGTCCCCTTCCACTACTAGCAACTGAAAATCAAACTGCCTTGCAAATTTCAGCCCTTGAAACAGAGCCAATAATTCTGCTGTTAGTGGATCTCCTTACTCTACAGGACCTGAGTAAAGTGCTAGTATCCCACCTTCTATATCACGAAAACCACCACCTAACCAGCCCTTACTTCATTTCCCAAAAAGCTTCCATCAAAGTTTAGTTCAGTATTTTAAAAGCGCAAGGCGCAAAAAAGGTGCAACGGCCAATTTGTACCCAAGGCGAGAGGCACAAGGCGCAAAAATACAAAAAAAAATGCTAAAAATATATATATCAGAAAATTCAAAAAAATGCAAAAATATATATATTAAACATAATATTAATAAGAAATATACGCTTAAATTTTAAAATTAATGGTTTAAAAAACCCATTATCTAAAATTAAAATACATAAACATATTACATTCCTGATCCTACGAGTCGCCTTTGTGCCACGCCCCTCGAGGAAAGTCCAAACAAGCCCATGTTTCAGGTCTTAAATTCTTAATTCTCACACAAAAGATAATGATATTATAATTTTAATTGCCTTTTAAGAAGATATTTTATTAAGATGAATGAACAACATTAGCAAATAGAGGGTTCTGGGAGGCATGGTCGAGGTCCAAGGGTGGAGCCCCCGGCCCAGCCACTAGGCTCAAAAAAACAAAAAAAAAAAAAAACGTACAATTTTCAAAAGGCACATGTCTGGGCCAAGACGCAAGGTGCATCAGGTGTACGCCTTTTGAAAGTGTTGCGCCTAGGACTTAGGCGAGGCGACTACCCTAAAATGCGCCTAGGCACTCCTCATGCGCACCTTTTAAATCACTGTTAGTTTGACAGCATTGAGTGTTGGTGGTCTCCATTCCATAACCATCCTTTCTTTCTCTTGAGCTGAATTTGCCACTTCCTTCCATGATCCCAACGTCATTAAAGGAAATGTCATGGAAGCTTTCCAAGGTTTTTACCCGATGTGCAACTTTATCTTGATGGATTCCATGATCTCCGGCACAGGCCTACTCTTTCCATTGAAGATTCTCCAATTCCTTTTGTTAGCATAGGGGTATTTCTGTCTTTATACCTTGATTGATGTTGCTGATCTGTAATGTTGTGTTGAAACATGTGCTCTTAACTTAAGGGCACATAGGTCTTTTCAGTCATGTTTTAATAATAATATAAATACTTACTGGCCAACTGGGAGAAGTCAAGTTGACTCTTTCAGTTCGAACC